ATTGACCAATGTTTTCAAATGTACCTTCCACCTGAAATATATGATGAGAAAAAGAGATTATGGTATTCTGTGAAAATTCACGAATAAATGAATATATGAATATTTAGATAATTTTGGGGCAAACTGAATCCATAAAGATCCATATTATTAAGAGTCCGTTGCATTCGTTGCATTTTTAACAACGCAGCAGAACAACAAGCTCTAAACGAGCCGATTAGCTCATGGTGGGAGGAGTTTAGATGATTCCCCATCATCGGACAGGGGTGCCCGTCGAGCAATTTAGCCCGTCAATTTCTACCCAACATTCTAAAAGCTAGCAAGACGATTGTCAACGGTTGGTACCGAAGCGATCTATTATTAGGTAGTCCCATAAGTAATGCCGCTTTTTTCAAAAAAAATTCTCTTCTGAATCCCCAAATTTTTACACCACGACATATATCGTTCAAGAGAGAATAGTCTGTTCTACAAAAAAAATTTGCATAACTTTCACATTCATTGCAGAGTTTTGAATTTTAGGCCGGCGAAGTGGGAAGCCCAGTCAACGAAATCGCCAAACCGATAACTAGCCCTAACTCTGTGTTCCATTTGGAGGGAATCAGTCAATGATTGACCATCAGCTTAGCCACAACCTTTTCTGAACATTCACTATTAGGCTTCCCAACAAGTCGCGTCGCTCCTTTTCCAGACTTGGTTTTTCAACCAGAACTCGACGGTCAAGCACCATTACCTGAGATCTAGGTCGAAATTTTTTTACAGCCGAGACATTGAAAAACTAGTAGAATTTAAGAACAAGTCATGACTAAGTTAGGAATGTACGCCTGGTTGATTTTCTCATCTTCTCGGATAATTTTTTTCAAAGAAATGCGGTCACTTTCGTGGACAAAGCACCTTATACCTAAACCTAAAATTCGAACTAATTCCTAACAAACATAAAAACAAAACAAATGAGCGAATAGAGCAGAAGAAGTGCTCACAAAAGATACACCACTTGATATAAAACAATGGCGTTTCAGAGAAAATTGCCATGGCTTATCGGTCAGCAAGAAGAACCAAATTCGTGCAGAAATACGGCAATGTTTTTTGACAACCTAAAGGCGGAAGAGTTCAAAAGAGGTAATGGATATGTAGAGGGTACATCACTGACTTGATTTCTTCTAAGCGAAGATAGAAGTTACCGCTAGCTGTCGGCTTGGCTTTGGTTAATTTTGGCTAATTTTCGTCGGCTAGACCTCCAATTTCATTTCATTTCATTTATTGACGCAGACAGAGTCCACGTGGGTATGGCAACTCAAGCAAGAAAAACATCGTAAACATAGTAATTTCGCAGGCCTAAAATTTGAAAACCCTGCAACGAATTCGGAAAAAAAATAAAGTGTCCTGCAGAGAAGACAGTTCTCTTTTAAACGGTATATGAGATGTGTAAGAACTACACTGCGACGCATAATTATAGTTCCACCTACAAATTTCCCAAAAACTTGAATCTGGGGATGTTTTTGGAAAAGGCTCTACAGATAAATTGTGACACATATAAACGCGAATCTGAATATTAACACGGAAATCCAGTTTGAGAAAGCAACAATTTTTTATCCTTATTTTTTCGAAAATATCCGCTTTAGCTTCTCCGCTGCATTTTGCTTTTACCCAATCAAAATTTGGAATTATTATCCATTCAAGTTCCTTAGCATATAGCAAAGGCA